CTATTGCCCGGGCTAGAGTGCTGTGGCGTCAGCCTAGCTCACAGCAACCTCAAACTCCAGGACTCAAGCAATCCTCCTGCCTCAGCCTCCCGAGTAGCTGGGACTACAGACATGGCCACCATGCCCAGCTAATTTTTTCTATATATTTTTAGTTGGCCAATTAATTTCTTTCTATTTTTAGTAGGACACGGGTCTCGCTCTTGCTCAGGCTGTTTTGAACTCTTCTTGAGTGATCCTCCCGCCTCCAGCCTCCCAGAGTGCTAGAATTACCGCACCTGGCCTGTCTTATTGATGTGTTAATGAATTAACTTTTATTGCTCTAAGCATAAGTGACCTGAATCAATCTCATTTTCTTAAGATTTTCCTATGGTTCTCTTTAAACTCTTCATATATAATACACACATAATATTTAACCATTATTATCCTTAAAGTATTTTATTTTACTTTTTCTTAGCATTTGTGATTTAATAATCCTGTAAATATGCTAACCCTATTAATATTTAAATATTAAACGTACCTTTCTTTATTTTCAAATGATTTTATTTAAATTTTGATGTTCTGGATTAAATGCTATAATATATCCTCTTTTTTAAAGATACAGGGTCTTACTCTGCTGTGTAAGTATTGAGAATGGCAAAATATATCAATACCCGATAAAACAAATTACAGTAATCTCTTAAAATTTAGCTGCATTGCAAATTTGACAGCATCCCCATTAAAATATTAAATATTATTGGAATGGCTACACATCCTCCCTCCCTCCCTCCCTCCCTTCCTTCCTTGCTTTCTTTCTTTCTTGTCAAGTGGAGTGGAGAGGGAACAAAGGAATCTGTAACTGGTTGTGATTAATTAGACAACTTCTTTACTATCAACACCATCTAAGTATGGGGGCTCTGGACTTCAAGTCTAGATTTTGGGCTACAATTTCAGTTCTACCTCTAAGGTTGTCGGACCTTAGATTATTGGTTTCCACAATCTAAGTCTTAACATCCCTTTCTACAATATGAGGCAATTGAATTGATGATCTCCAAAATTTCTTCTAGCTCTCATATTCTATAATTCTAAATCTTAGCAAGTCTTACTACACAATTTTTACCATTTTTTTCCTCCAGATATTTAACTTCTGGGCATTTGACATTTGTTTCTTTGCTCTATTTTCAATTTTAGCTTTGAGAAGTAGAAGCTAGAGGAGCAATGTAGGAATTGGTGGGAATTCAATAATATTTGTGCCTGGGTCACAAGGTAGGAGGCTCTGTAAATTGTTCCAGCAACTTCTCCTTCATAATCTGGTTAGTCGTAGATAATTTTCTTTTTCCCAAATTTCTCTCTTTTCCAAGAACTCTTCTGTCTTCTTTTTTTATTTTTTTTTAATTTTTTTGAGACAGAGTCTCGCTTTGTTGCCTAGGCTAGAATGAGTGCCGTGGCATCAGCCTAGCTCACAGCAACCTCAAACTCCGGCTCAAGCAATCCTTCTGCCTCAGCTCCCAAGTGGCTGGGACTACAGGCATGCACCACATGCCCGGCTAATTTTTCTATATATTATTTGGCCAATAATTTCTTTCTATTTATAGTAGAGACGGGGTCTCGCTCTTGCTCAGCTGGTTTCGAACTCCTGACCTCGAGCAATCCGCCCAGCCTCGGCCTCCCAGAGAGCTAGGATTACAGGCGTGAGCCACCGCGCCCGGCCTGTCCTCTTTTTTAAAAATTCACCTTTTTGTTTTTTTTTCTTCAGTCAGAGTCTCACTCTGTTGCCTGGGCTAGAGTGCTGTGGCATCAACCTAGCTCACAGCAACTTCAAACTCCTGGGCTCAAGCGATCCTGCCTCAGCCCCTTGAGTAGCTGGGACTACAGGCTCGTGCCACCATGTCCAGATAATTTTTTCTATATATTTTTAGTTGTCCAATTTTCTTTCTATTTTTAGTGGAGATAGGGTCTCACTCTTGCTCAGGCTGGTTTCAAACTCCTGACCTTGAGCGATCGGCCTGCCTGGGCCTCCCAGAGTGAGAGGATTACAGGCGTGAGCCATGGAGCCCGGCCAACAATTCACCTTAACTCTGAACTCTTACTGGCCTAGACTCATATATTAATTGATGTGATTGAATGAGAAATATAATAATAATTACTTCAACAAATAATTGACAACATACCATGTACTAGGTAAGCAGTTTTCAAAATTTTGGTCTCAGAAACCCTCAGTATGATTAAAAATTATTGAGGACTCCCTAAAGCTTTTGCCTATGTGAATTAAAAATTCTTTCTGCTTCATCTAAGATATTCTTAAGTGAAACTGGCTTTTTAAAACAATGTGAGTATATTGTTCCAGGAAAAACTATGAGATTCAAATAAGTTATTCAACACATTATTTTCAGCACAAGGTATGTTTGTTGCCAAGATTTATATAAAATAGGATCTTCAAGCATTAGTTGGTGCTGACAATGGATGGATAAAAACAAAGCAAAAAATCTAGTTACATCTACAATTATGCCCATTTTAAAGGAATTACACTTCTGCAGATGAGATATTAACTCGGTCTTTATGTTTTCCACTAAATTTCTAATTTGTTGAGTTACTGTATCCTTGAAATGTAGCACTTCTGTGATCTCTTTTACTAATTTTTCATCTAGCAGGTATTCATTTGGTGATAGCACATGGCTTAATTAGTCTTTCAGCTATTGCATGCTCTTCTCCAGCCAATACAACATAATAATTTAACCTGTGAGATGCTTCAGTGAGTTTTTCATTTCTACTTTGAAAATTTCGGTTTTTACAAAGTGCATCATGTCTATGGTTAAAATATTCAATTCCCCTTTCTTTTAAATTCTGACTGACTGGTCTCAAAATGATGCCTCAATTTGAAAATGTTTTGTTGAATGAGACAAAAATAAGATGAATGATTAAAATCTCTAAAGCCAAGGGGAAAAAAGCAGCTTTTGTCATACTTTCCTTTCTTATTTATCGTTTCACCCAGATTTCTCCCTTTCCCTGAGTCAGAGAATTCTCTGATACTGATATCATATCATCTTTTTCAGCATCTTTAGCTGTGGGAAGGTTAGAAAGCAGGGCTTCTAATCTCCCTTTTTTTAAGCCAGCGGTAGATCCCAAAATTAAAAAATAAGTATGAACAATTTTGTTTTAGGATAAAATACTAAATTTTAAGAGAATATCAGTTTTATTTTATTTTATTTTATTTTTTTCGTATCTACCAGCCCAGGTTTAGAATATCAGTTTTAGATAAAAGTTTCCAATAAATTAAAAAATATTCTCACAAGACAAGTTAACAAAGTGGACTGTTTTCCTGCATAGGGTACAAGAACAAATTCGAGATTTCAAAAAATCCCATGTATTAGATGATAATGAGGTTACAGAAATTAGAGCAGGTATAACTGAAGATATCTTGTAGGAACACACTAGGAGTACTGAAGACAAATTGAGCTGATCCCCTGAAAACACATATTTGTGCCCTAAATCTTCTACTTTAGACAATTCTAGAAAACACAAGAACACTAAAGTATACATTGCACCAACTAGCCATACCTAAAAGTCTAGCCTCTTGAAAACTCCTCTGGACCCTCTGGAGACAATCAGAGTGAAAACAGCAAATAACATGTAACACACTGACTGCCACGCTAGAAAAACAATTTTTTTTCCTTGGGGCCACAGTGTCTTATTACAAAAGTAGAATAAAAGCTTTGAAAACAAAACGACCCTAACTTAATGAAAAATTCATTTTTTATTGTCTTCTGTGCCTGAGTTATACGCAACTTGAAAAAAGAGATCACCCGGACCGCCAGGTAAAGAGACGCGTGAGTTACAAATGCTTCATGAGGCCCCAGGCTCAAAACTAGCGTGAATTAAATACAACTCACTTAATGTGTCAAGTACGATTATGAATGTTGTTTTGACTCCGTGCACGACAAATCCCCAGGACAGCGCCGCTGTCATCCAACCCCCCAAGCGTGCCCACAGTCGCCAGGGCCAGAGCCGCGCGTGGCGCCGGGGACCGGCGTGGCAGCCGCCTGGCGGGGTGCGGCCGTGGGGCTGGGGGTGCGGACGCGGTGAGGGGTGGCTGCCGGGGGCGTCCCGAAAAAGGCGAGCACGAGAAGACGACGCAACTCCTGAGGTGGCCTCGGGCCGCGCGGAGGCGGCGAATAAGAAACGGAGACTCTGGGGAACGAAGCGTGAGAGGGACGCGCCCCTAGCGGCTTCCTCAGGAGGACTCACGGTTGCGCGCGGTCCCCGGGCTGTCGTCCCAAGCGCGAGCGTCAGGCGTCCCTGCGCGGCCGCTAGAGGTCAGCTTCTGCGCGCAAGTTGGGGAGAGCGGCTCCTCCGTCCCCTCCCCCTCCCCCCCGCGGACTCTTTCGCCCTCCCGCGGCCTCTGTCGGGAACAACACAGAACTTGTTCATGTGGGACGCGAATAAAGATTTCTTCTTCAAAACACAGGAAGTGACTACGGAGGCCGGGCGGGCGGCAGCCGGGCATGAAGCCGGGCGGCGACCGGAGCGCGGGCGGCGGCGGCGGCGGCGGCGATGAGCGACATAGTGGAGAAGACTCTGACGGCGCTGCCTGGGCTTTTTCTGCAGAACCAGCCCGGGGGCGGGCCCGCAGCCGCCAAGTCGTCCTTCTCCTCGCGGCTGGGCGGCCTAGTCCGCGGCATCACCGCGCTCACTTCCAAGCACGTAGGTGCCCGCCGGGCCGGGAGGTCGGGGACGTGAAGGTGGGGCCCCCGCTCCCGCAGGCCCTGGCCGGGCGCCGAGGCTCCAGGGCTGGCCCTCGGGCGGGGCTCAGGGCTGCCTGTGTGTCGGTCCGTCCTTCCGTCTGTCTGGAAGCTTCACTTTCCTGCCCGGACTGACAGCTGGGAGGCCGGATTGCCACAGTTGGCCCCGACACTGACTCATTTTGTTCTTGCAGATCTCTTTAGCCCCTGACCCTCCATGTATTGTCACAGCGTTGAAGTGGAAAAGTAGTGACACATGTTTCATGGGTTGTTTTTAGGATTAGATGAGATGTCAAGGGTGTGGAAATACCCGGTGCGATGGAGGTGTCAGGCGTTATTTGCCTTCTGCAAAGTTTCTTTCTCTATCTCTATCTCTATCTCTGGTTCCTTCCTTCTCTCCCCGAGTCCCTTCGACTGCTAGATGTCACATACCTGAACAGATCCTGCCATCTGAGCCTTCTGTTGACTATCTTTGGGGAGCTCGAGGTTCCTGGGTTAGGCCGACAGGTTGAGCAAAGAAAAAGTATAATTCTTCCCACGTGTAAAATTTGCTGAGTAAGTCTTTGCCTCAGATCGGCTTTGAAAATTAGCAGTTATAGAAGATAATTAAGTTCGCACAGACTTTTGGTCGTTGCACGGATTGTGCAGGATACTGATTTAAAGCTTCAAGGAGTTTATTCCTTTGCTAAATTTTTATGAGATAATATAGTTTTTAAAAAATTTAGTTTTGGTCTTAAATTGCAGTTTGTAACTGTAAATAGGCATCCAAATATTGCAGTACTTCACCTAATGAAACCTCCTAATACAGTGTGTAATTTAAAGATAACTTTATATTAGCCAAAAATGGGGCCAATTTTTAAGTGCTTATGGAGGTACAATACAATGCAGTCAGTAGAAGTGACCACATTGGGATGTGTATGTGAGATAGGAAGTGAGGGAAAGAATGAGGGGAATGAGGAACGAGGAAAGGATAGGGAAGAAGAATACAGTTTAAGGAAGAACATTTATGTCTGTTTCTGCATTCTTACCCTATTTCTCTATTCCATGAAGACTTTTTACTTTATAAGGAAGATGTGAAACTCTTATCCTGGGCCAGTATATGGAGAATTTCTTTCTGCTCTCTCTCTCTCTTTTTAATTTTTGAAAATCGTTTTCTGCCATCCCCAAGGAGGGATGGTGGATGAGCCTGGAAATACTCTCCCTAGGGATAATTCTGAGGGTTAGTTAGAGAAATGCTTTTTTGCAGATCTTAAGCACTTAATATTTATCTCTCCTTTAAAATAATCTTTCTTTTGTGTTGAAAGTATTTTATTTATGTACGTATGAAAATGAATGAATGAATGAATGACAGGATCTCATTCTGTTGCCCAGGCTGGAGGGCAGTGGCACAATCCAATCATCGCTCATTGCAGCCTTGAACTTACAGGTTCAAGCGATCTTCCTGCCATAGCCTCCCGAGTAGCTGGGACTACAGGCACACATCAATGTGCCTGGCTAATTTTTAAAAAAAAATTTTTTTGTAGAAACAGGGTCTTGCTGTGTTGCTCAGGTCAGTCTTGAACTCCTGGCATTAAGTGATTATCCTTCCTTGGCCTCTCAAAGTGCTGAGATTACAGGTGTGAGCCATGGTGCCTGGCTAAAAATATTTTACATTTTATTTTTTCCTTTAAAAAATGCTGTTACAGTTTTAAAAGATAGTTATTAAAGCATTTAAATATTTTCACTTTTTCAGGAAGAAGAGAAATTAATCCAACAGGAGCTGAGTAGTCTGAAAGCGACTGTTTCTGCTCCTACTACAACACTGGTAAGTTTGCATAGTCAGTGCCAACATATTTTGAATTTGAAATTTGGTTCATCTAATCAGTTGCTAACATTTGATTTATCATAGTCAAATGAGTTATGGGTCATAGCAAGCCAGACATTAACTTTAGCTTTTTATTATTGACTGGTTGCACCAGAACAAGACTTGCCTGACTGTGTCAAGTCAGAGCCAATGTGATGATAATTACATAAATTTGGTGATATTTCTGGGACCCCAGTGTTGATCTTACTGTTTTAATGTTGTGCACTTGAAAAAAGTTGGGATATATCATTTAACATAATATTTTAAACCTGAATGGATACATTGTAGATCTCTAGTTTTATATCTCTGGGAATATAGGTTGACTGAAAAGGTAGAATAATTGTTTTCTTGCTGTGAAAGTGAGTATATTGCACAGCAGCTTAATTAAGACCCAGATGTTTTAAAACTTGGTTCCATATAATTTGATTTTTCAAACAGTATTTATTCAGCAACTATTTAATGAGTGACCACTGTAGGCAGGCCATAGTAGGGCTATCCCAACATAGTTAGATTAAGAACCATTTTTTTTTAAATGAGATTTTTTTTTTTTTTTTGAGACAG